CTGCGCGGATGCAAGTGTGCTGCGCTAATGCAGAGCAGCGCTGCGCTAAGAAGAAGCAGGGCAGCGCTAGGCGGTAGGGCGCTGCTTGCTTGCAGAGCACTGGCGGCCATAGCCGGGCCGCAAGAGGGTGCAGGGGATGTGAGGGCGAAGGTGGTACTTCGGAGGTGAAGAGCGCTGTGTGGGTAACAAGGGAGAGTGTGGGGAAGATGACACGTACCTGGTGATGGTGGAATACCGCATTGGTGTTGACCTCATCACTCGCTGGTAGTCAAGTTGTCTGGTTGCTGTTCATTGCTGTAGTTGTAGGATAGGCTGTAGAGTAGATAGGGCGCCTGGCGCCATTCACAAGAGAGAGCWACATTTGGGTTATGCTGTTGGTGTTGCCCTGTTGGGCATGGACATTGACTCACGATTCTTCTGTATCATTCTCAATGGGATGGTTACTCGGTTCYATKTGCTATCTGCTTTGGCTTTGAATACTTGGACTTCAGTGTGATTTTGCATTCTGGATTTCTGTGCTTCGTCCATACTCATGTTCCTTGCATAAAGTAGTGATCTTTTTCTTTTTTTTTTCAATTCCTCTTAAATTTGGACCGTTTCTCGATTTGTGTGTGTGTCATCCTTGTGCAGGGGCCATGCTAATCTTCTCTTTCTCTGTATAGTCCCAATTTTAATGGACGTCCCAAAGGACTAAAAGAGAGCTTAGAGAAGCGATCTTGACCATGTTTCAGACTTTTTCCCCATTTTTTTATGAAGAAAAGAACAACAATGACTGGATATGAGGAAAAAGGTTCGAGAACCCTCAAAAAGAGCAAAAAAAGGACCCACCTTGTCAAACGACAATGCGTCATTCAAGGCCAGCCTCATCAGATCTGAAACAAGGTCTGGATTATTCTGAAATGTCAACAAGAAAGTTCCCGAAAAAGTTGCACCAAATGCCACACACAGCAAAAAAAACACAACATAAAACAGAAAAGCCCCAAAGTCAAAGTGTCACACAAAAGTCAGCATGTCACACGAAAGTCAGCAGGTCGCATAAAAGTCAGCATGTCGCATAAATTTCACACAAATGTCATACAAATGTCACACAAATGTCACACAAATGCCACACAAATGTCACACAAATGTCACACAAATGTCACACAAATGTCACACAAATGTCACACAAATGCCACACAAATGCCACAAAAATGCCACATGAATGTCACACAAATGCCACACGTTTGTTGTCCTCTTCTTCCTCTCTGCCCACAGTTTACCAGGCAGCTCTGTTTCACTATATATATATGTCACAAACAGAACTGCCCGGTAAACCGTAGGCAGAGAGAGAGAAGAGGACAACAAACGAGGGGCTGTGACAAACTGTTTCGTCAGAGTTTCAC